CTGGGGTCTCTGTGCGTGTCGTTGGGTCCCTGACTGGGGTCTCCCTCTCGGCATTCCCGACGCTCCCGGGTTCCCGCTCCATGTGCCCCCCTCCTGTCGCTCTCCACCATTCATTTCCTCCCACAAACACCTGCTGAGCGCTCCTGAAGTACCAAGTACTCCCGGCGGCCGCTAGATTTATTTATTGAGCACCTTGTGCCCTGTTCCAAATGCCTTACATTGACTAACTCATGTAATCACCATAACAAAACTCTGAGATACAGTGTCATCTGAGGTAACACTCACTTTAAAGGTGAGGAAGCCAGAGCCCCACGAGGTTAAGGGAATAGTTGCCGCCCACCAGGAACCTGCTTTCTGGGGAGGAGACAGATGCGGGAAGCGACGCTAAGACAGGAAAGCAGGATGGAGCCAGAGATGGTTTGGGGGAGGAGGGAGGGCTCCTTGGAGGAGGCAGCGTCTGGGACTTGAAGGAAGTCAAGGAGGCAGGCAGTCTGGGGGAGCACTCGGGGAGAGTGTTCTCCGTAGGAAGACCTAGGCACAGCCTGGCCATGAGGATGAACTTGGAGTGAGCGACACTGAGAGGAGAGGCCAATGTGGTTGGAAGGGAGGGACAAGGGGAAGAAGGGTGCTGGGAGCTGAGTCAGTTGATTAACGCTCATGGGCCAGAGAGTAATAATATTCCCCCTGCCAGGTAGGGCTGTAGGAGCTCCCCGCATCCTCCCCACAGCCCAGCAGAGCAGGGGATTAGCAAATTACCGCCTGCAGGCCAATCCTGGCCCGCTGCCTGTGTCTGTAAATAAAGTTTTATTGGAGCACAGCCATGCTCATTCCTTTGTGCATCACCTAGGGCTGTTTCGGTGCTACAAGGGCGGGGCTGAGTAAAAACTGTATGCAAAGTCACGAATAGTTACTGTCTAGCCCTTTACAGAAACAGCGTGCCAGCTCCTACTATAGAGACCCTTTGCGCCCCATTTTACAGGCGGGAAGACCGAGGCACAGAGAGGCTCAGTTACTTGCTAAGGTCACACAGCTAGCAGGCGGCAGAGCTGGGATTCGAGCCCAAACAGCTGGAGTTGAGGATCTAGGCACCTGACCTCTGCACGGGGACTGCTTCCCCGTCCACACTGGGCCTGTGGGGACCTGTGGGGGCCTGTGGGAACTTGTGCTCCGAGGGAGGTGGGAGCCGCGTCAGGGTTCGGAACAGAAGCGGAGAGTGATTGGACTTTGGTGCTCAGAGAGTCCCTCTGGCTGATGGTTGAGTAGACTGAATGCGGGCCAGGGGAGCTGCAGGGAGACCATTTGTCCAAGGGAGCAATGCCACCGCCCTGAGCCAGGGTGGCTCCCCAGCGGCTGCCCCGTTTCTTCCCATCTGCTCTGGTCTTGCCCGTGGACTCTCTCCTGCTTCCTCCTCAGCCTCTCCAGTTTCCCAGGTTTTGGTCCTGCCCCCACCGCCCCACGCTCTCCTGCCCTTCCCAGGGCCTGGCCCTCACCTGCTCCTGGCCCAGGGATGGCCCTAGGGTGGGGGTCCCTGTGTAGGGACATGCTGCCATTTTCACGAGCCTCCTGTGTGCACACACTTGCAAGCACACGGTGACACAGACCGTCGTCACTGTAGCCCCGTGAAAATGTGGCACAGCTACACACACGTTCACACTCACAACAGAGGCTCGAATGTGGACCGTGTCCCACAGTCTCGCAAACGCATCCACCTTTCAGAGCCACAGTGGCTCCACAGAAGCTTGTGACAAGGGGCGGCGGCCACAGCCCACGCGCGCCCAGCCCAGCCTCGGAGCTTCACCGGGACACAGCCGGACACGGTCACACAAACACGACCCCCGCACACCAGATACGGATTTCGAGAGGGTGCCACGTGCAGACACACACCGCCCAGCCTCAGAGCCCCATCAGGAAGTGAAACAGAGACTCCTGCTGGGACCCGCCAACAGTTACACAAACGTCCTCCGCGGGGTCCCCGCTCGCGAACAGGCACAACCGGACGCATCCCAGTCCCACCCAGACACACGCCACACATGGAGACACACGGCACGGTGGCGCAGACTGCAGGCCGGTCGTGCCCACTCAGCCTGACGTCTCTGGGCCCCACACGCTGAGGCCTGGGGAGTCCCACGAGGCCGCGCAGACAGCAGCTGGCCCCGTCATACCCAGACGCGCTGTCACACCCCGGGTCCCAGACGGAGCAGTCCCACACACCCAGACACACCCCCAGGGTCGCGGCCCTCGCACGCCCAGCCCGGGCCCGGCCCGAGGACAAGTCCTGGCCGCACAGGGCTGCACACCCCGCGGTGGCCCGAGCCCTCGCCACGCCCTCGTGACACACCCCGCCCACCTGCCGGCCCGGCTGAGCTGGCGCGGAGGCCGCCCAGGAAGGGAAACTTGCGGGCTCAGCACCTTCTTGGACTGCCTGCGGGCTGCCCCTGCCCTGCTACGCGGCACCCCCGACCCCGCGGGGGGGGGGCGGGGGGCAGGCCCCGTGGGGACAAGGGAGTCCTGGCCTCTGGCCCAGCGCCCAAGCGCGGGGGCAGGACCCGGGGTTCAGGGAGTCCCGCTCCCCTCCCCCGCTCCTGCGGGCAGCCCCGGGAGGGGAGGGAAGTCGTGGGGGGAGCCTGGGTTCCGGCTGGAGCCCCAGCTTCCCGTCCGGCCCCCACGGGGCAGGAAGCGGGGCCGGGGAGGCCAGCTCAGGCCTTCCTGCCCCCTCCCCCAGACAGGCCTGGGAGCTGGGTCAGCTGGAAGGAGTGGGGCGAGCAAGGGAGGGGGCGGGGGGGGATGAGAAAGCCCCTCCCCCCAACTTCGTGATTGGTGTCTTTTGGGTTTCTTTTTTTTTTTTTTTTAAGATTTTATTTATTTATTTAATAGAGAGAGAGAGAGAGACAGCATGAGGGGGAACACAAGTAGGGGGAGTGGGCGAGGGAGAAGCAGGCTTCCCGCTGAGCAGGGAGCCCGATGCGGGGCTCGATCCCAGGACCCTGGGATCATGACCTGAGCCGAAGGCAGTCGCTCAACCGACTGAGCCACCCAGGCGCCCCTCTTTTGGGTTCCTAATGTAAATTTGAACATGTTCAGAACCCGTGTGTGTGTGTGTGTGTGTGTGTGTCTACAAGCTTTGTGCTGTGGATTTTGTGTGTGCAGCATGGGGGTTTCTAACACACCAGCGGGCGCCGGCTGGCCATGCTGAGTGTGGACAGCTTCTGTCCAAGTGTGCGTCCCCAGCACGTGTCCCCTCCGTGTGTCTGGCTGTGCTGCGTGTGGGTCCGAGTTTTGTGTTTCTGTCTAGAAGCCGGTGTCCTCTCTGGGCTCTGTGACATGACACCGTGTCTCAGCAAGTCTGTGTGGAGGAGTGGGGTCCCATCCCTGGGGCGCGCTGTGTGTCTGTGTTTTTTCTCAGCATCTTTGCTCTTGCTCTCTGGGTGTAAATCTGTGCGTTCTTCGGTAAGTGTGACTCGAAGTGCGGATGTTTTCTGTGCCTGTCTGCATGTCTGTGAGGGAGGCGTGTTTCCGGGAGCTGCTGTGCTCTGTGTTTGCTAGCCGAGCTGTGTTTTCAGTGCGGGGGGGTGTGTGTGTGTGGCGGGGGGCCAGTGCCCGGTGTTGGTGCGTCTGTGGGCGGCTTGTTTCTGGGGGAGGTCTGTGATCCATGTGTGCCCTGCTGCTATTCTGAGCGCGTTGTGTCTGTGGGGTGTGTCTCCAACACGCTTGCTGTCATCCTCCTCGTGTGCTTGTGTGAGTGTGTGTCCACGCCGAGACTGGACACACACTCCATGCGCAGATGGGGTTTGCATTTTGTCTCCCCGTATGTGGGCTGGTGACTCTGGCGTGTGAGCTGTGGTGTGGGTCTCTCTGTTTGCACCACGTGATCTTCGAGGTGTTTTGAATTTTCGGTGGGGTGGCCGTGTGTCCTGCAGGTCTGCATTCTGTGCTGGTGTTTCCAGGGCAGGAGGGGCATGGTGTGTCCCCAGGGAAGCCGCCGGCATCCCGAGTGACACACCCAGAGGCCTCTGTGCTGAGTGGAGGCTGCATCTGCGGTGTGTCCCCTCGCCGGCTGGTGCCACGCTGGCCCGGGGCTGGCCGTGGCGGGCGGGCAGGGCAGGGGCTGTGGTGGGCACTGGACCTGCGCCCAGACCTCGGTATAAATATCCCAGCTGCCGGGCGGCTGTGTTTACTCGGCCCCAGTCCGGGGGGCGGGGGGGGGGGTGGAGGGCGGCGGCGGCGGCAGCCCTGCAGGTCCTGGGGGCGGGGGTGACCAGGCCACAGCAAATACACTTCCTTCTGGCCAGACAGGCTACGGCCTCACTGCCCCTTCCCGCCCCCTTTCTGGATGGGGGTGTGGCGGTGACCCCTCATCCTGGGCTCCCAGGGGCCACCAGCCACCCTCTGGACGTCCTCACTGGGGTTCCCAGGGTCTGGGAGACAGAGAAGAGGGGCCAGCCGACAGGCGTGAGGGGGCGGGCCGGGGACCGCAGGGAGGGGGAGACGTGGGGGTGGAGACTCCAGGAGGAAGGCACAGGAATGGTCTCGGAGGCTCAGGGACCGGTGTGGGGGGATGAGCGGGAGGGAAGCGAGAGGGGTGGCAGAGCTTCTGGGCAGGACTGGCGGGGCAAGAGTGGAGGGGGGAAGTGATGGGAGCTTCGGGCGGCCAGAGGCAAAGCAGAGTAGGGGGAGAGGGAGAGGCGCAGCGGGGCAGCAGTGGGAGACCAGGATGAGAGGGCAGGACACGCAGGGGGGTCAGACGGGGGTGCGGGCGGCAGCCGGCAGGACAGACGGGAGACGGGGTGGGGGCCGGATGCCCACGGAGGGGCTCTCCCTCCCTGACTCAGCCTCTCCGTCCGCCCTGACCCAGGGCTGGGGGCGGAGGGCCAGGCGCCCCCCGGGGCACCTCCGGGTCGCAGTGGCGGGGGCTGTGCCGGGGGCGTGTCTCCCGCAGTCCCTCTTGACTGGCCCCACCTCTGTCTCCGCCATCTGACTAACCCTAATTCTGACTCAGCTGCTGTAGTCTCTCATCACTTTATTATGTAACAAGTCTGCGTCCGGCAAAGTATATCACAAACAACGTTAAGGATCCAATGACAAGCTGGCCCAAACCGCGCACATCACGCAGGGCTGCTCCCCGTGCTAGAAAAGCTCCCTGGGCCCGCGGGCGGGCGCGCACATGTACCCGAGGGGCAAACCCCCGTCAGCCTCGGGCTCTCCGAGGGCGCGTCGCGCCGGCTGGCCCACCCTGGGCTTCCGTGGCAGCCAGGGTGGCAGTGTGGACCGTCCATGTGGCGCAGGAGGGCCGCGGGGCTTCCTGTCCAGGTGCCGACCTCGGCGCCCGTGTGCAGGGCGGTGCCGAGCACATGGGACGCCCCCCCTCCCCGCCCAAGCTTAGCTGCTGGTATCACCCTCCATAGCCACCTCTTCCTTGCTCTTCTTGAGCAAATCCGTGCATCCGACCGCTCCGGGTGGCCCTGACCTGACACGCAACCTAGGAGGATGGTCCCCAGGACCTGTGAGGGTCTAGACCTGGTTTTTCATCTTCACTGGCCGTGCAGCCTCGACCAACTAACACCTCCCTTCTGGCCTCCCCTGACTCACCTATGGAATGGAGGCGAGTCCCTAGTTCACAGGGTCGTCAGGAGGATTCAGTGTGGCGTCAGGTCCGGCAGAGGATAGAACTGCTAACTGGGAGCTTCCGTATTTAAGTCTCTCCGTGTGAATGTCCCTTGGCCTCTAGGCCAGCTCTCACTTTCTGTGTCTGGCTCTAGTCCTGCTTGACCCAGAGGGCAGAGCTGAGGCCCAGGGGTCAAGAGCTGTGGCCCTGGGAGGCCTCAGGGTCTCCCCCTTACTCTGGGCCATGTGCCTGAGGAGGTGGTTTTGAGGGTCCTGCAGGCTTGGCTATGGTGGGGTGCCATCATTCTGGCTCCCAGGAGCGAGGGGTCCCCAGGCCCCACCTCTTTGCCCCATGGCCCTCCCGGCAAGCAGCTGACCCCTTCTCCATGTGCATGTCTACTGGGGGAGCAGGAGCTGGGTGTGGGGGCATGGGAAGGTGAGACGCCTGGGTTCCCACAGGCCAGTGGCTGAGTCACCGGGAGGCCATCTGGCTCGCATTAGCCGGGGGCGGCGGGGGGCTCTGCGGGGCGGGCCCTGTGGCCAGCTGGGGGCAGGGATGCTGGGGCAGGCTGTGTGTGGGATGACTCAGGACCCATGATAACAGCCTGTGCGTATTTGGGGAGTGTAAACAGGAGGGAGAAGGAGGCGGAGGAAGTGAAGGAAGGGAACATTGTGGCCGGGGAAAGAGAGAGGCCGGTGGGGCTGAGAGGGGAGAGCCCCCCTCCCCGTGCCCCCTCCCACCACACCCAAGCTGGCAGGCCCGTGGCCCTGGTGCTGCCCCTGCACCCCCCTCCCAAGTCTGGGTCCTGAGGGAGAAGTGACAGCTGGTAGCCCGCCCAGCGAGGCCACCTTCCTCAGCAGTCAGGGCTCTGCTGCCCACAGTGGCTGGGCCAGGGGGTGGGGGGGAAACGACACGGAAACAGAGAGAGAGAGAGAGGCTGAGAGGCAGACGGAGGGCCAGAGGTAGCGTGGGGGCCGAGAGATGGGAGCGTACAGCGGGAAGAGCCAGAGGCCCAGAGCGAGGCTGAGGGAGATGGGACCGAAACAGAGGCAGGGAGGCACGAGCCGCATCGGCACAGAGGTGGGAAACAGGCAGAGGCCGGGGGCGAAGCCCGGGGTTCACCTGGACCCTACACAGGACACTGATATCGTCCCGGCCGGCTCCGGCTACGAAGGGCCTCGGTCAAGGGGACGACCTTCAGCCTGGGCCCTATCGTGGGGACAGAGGCCTGGGCGCAGGGAAAGGGACAGAGAGAAAGGCACAGAGAAAAGACAGTGAGGTGCTGCAAGAGGGAGGGGGACGCAGAAAGCAAGAGACACAAAGGCAGGGAGAAAAAGCGAGTGAGCCAGAGAGACCACGAGAGACAGAGGTGGAGTGGGGGGTGGGGGGGAAGGGAGGGAACCCCGCACAAAGAGGGGGCAGGGATGGCACCAGAGCCAGCGAGGCTGTCCCCTAGACGGAGTCATGGGCGGGGCGGGCGGCCGCGGCCATCAGTCCCCATCCAGCTCTGGGCTGGGCGCGTCCTCGGGCTCCTCCTCGTCGAAGTACCTCTCCTCCTCATCCCGCGCCACAATGTCCAGGTTGTCAAAGTCGGGGTTGTCGTCCACGGTGCTGCAGGGGGAGGGGGCTGTCAGGGGCTGGCTCTGGGGGCCCGGCTGCTTCTCACTCTTCAGAGGAGGTGGGACCCCCAGAGTCGAAGGCCACATGCTGGCAGCTGTAAATGGAAGCTGCCCCCCTGCAGGGGGCGAGGCTAGGAGTCTCTCAGGGCTTCAAACAAAAGGAACATTTTCCAAAGTAGAGATTTTCCATAAAAACTTCTGGTTTCTCTCAAAAAGCTGGAACATGTGGGGACAGGAGGACCCCCATTCCCCAGAGAGTGGTTCTGAACCAGGACGATTCTGCCCCTCAGGGGACATGGGGGGATAACTGGAGCCATTCTGGTTGTCACAACTGGGGGGCTCCTACTGGCCCCCAATGACTCGACACCAGGGACGCCTCTCAACCCGCTGCTGCGCCCAGGCCAATGCTCCACAGAAGAATGATCTGGCCCGAAAGGTCAACGGTGCTGAGAAGTGTTTGCCCTAAGGTGTCAAGTGATCCTAAATTGTCAACAGGATCCTTGCACCTGCTGCTCCCCCCGCCAGGAACACTCTGACCCCAGACATTCATGTTGCTCACCCATCACATCCTGCACGCCTTTGCTGAAACGTCACCTGCTCAGAGATCCTTCCCTGGCCACCTCGTTCCAACCCCCCGCCCCTGGACCCTGCCTTAATTTTCTTTATGGCCCCGTCAGCACCAGATGCTCCATACTTCTTTTGCTTCCTCACTAGAGCGGAACTCCCTTCAGGGCAGGGAACCCTTTCGTCACTGGATTTGGTCACTGCTTCATCCCCAGAGTCTGGACACAGCAGGTGCTCAGCACATGGTGGCGGAACGCAGAGAAGGGACCCACTGTCCCTGCTGCCCAGTAGCTGCCCTACAGGGGGGTTGGGCTTTGATCCCCCCTCATCCCTAATCCTCACGCCAGGCCCAATTTCCTCATGGGCACCTGGCTTTCTGGGGGCTCCCCACGGCCCAGGTGCTCTGCACCCGCTTTTTGTGGGAACTCAGGCCGAGAGGCTCCACCCCAGCTGGAAGGTGGATCAGCCAGACCTGCCTCTGGAGCCAGGGGGCCCTAGATCAGGCCGGCGGTGCTCCTGGGGGCCGTGGCATTGGCGCTCCCCACCCAACTGGTGAGGGTCGGCCTATTCGTGTGTTGCCGGGGCTGGGTTTGAAGCCGGGCCCTCGGCTAGCACACCCACCAGGCAAGACTGCCTCAGTTGTCAAAACCTTTTATCTCTGACTCCGATACTTGATATTTCAGTGTCCTTTTCCCTGATGGCAAAATCCTTTCCAAAGCAGTGGTTGTGTGTCTCGCCCTGGGGTTACGGTGGGGACAGCAAACAGACTGCAGGGCGGCCACCACAGGCCCCTCCGTGCTAGGCATTAACCCTGCCAGTGGCTACTTCCTGAAGCACGAGGAGGTCTGGGGGCCTGAGGAAGAAGCTGGCTTGCCTGGGGGACACCTGGGGGGCTTGGGGCAGTGGCATCCTACCAGGCCACCACCACTCACCCGAATGCAAATATTTCAGTGTTTTGTCAAATTTGAGCGGTCAGCCCTGCTCAGTCCCTTCTTCAGGTGAGGGGACTGATGCTCAGAGATGCACAAAGCTAGTCCAAGGACGCCCACTGATCTCTGGTTCATCTGAGACCCTTATGCCATCTGAGCCGGGCCGAGGGCCGTGGGGTGCCGGGCTGGGGGGGGAGGGGGAGCCTGAGTCACCTGTAGTCAAAGTCCCCGTCCTTGCCGTCCAGGAAGCGCTGGTGCATCCGGCTGGTGAACTCTTCCCGCAGGATCAGCCTCTCTTCTGAGTCGGGGACCCAGGCCTCCGAGTCTTTGCTGGGGCTCTGGTCTGTAGGGGCAGACACCCACAGCGGGGAGGATGTGAGCGGCGCACTCGGGGAAGGGCTGAGAACAAAGCCATGGAGAGCCGCCTCCTCTGTCCTGGTGGCACTGGGAACACAGTGGTGACCAAGACAGCCCCTGTCCTGCCCTCCCCGGCCACACGCCAAACACACAATGACAATACAGTGCTCTGGAGACTGGAGAACAGGATCAGGACCTGCTACCTGGAGGCTGGTGAAGGGAAGGCATTCTTGGCAGAGGAAACAGCGTGGGCAACGGCCTGGAGGGGAGCGACTGCTGGGTGCCTTTGAGGAGTGGGGGACAGAGATGCTGGAAGGACTGGGAAGAGCCTGGGCACTCAGGGCAGGCAGGGGAGGGACGCGAGGTCTGCTCTTGCAGTTCGGGGGCCCAGCCTGGAGCCCCCTGGAACTGGCCCTCACCTTCCTCATCGCTGTCCTCCTCATCTTCCTCCTCCTCCAGGCAGGCCTCCTCCTCCTCCTGCTGCTGGAGCAGCCGCTGCTGCAGCTCCCGCTCCTGGTAGGACTGGAGCAGCAGATCAGAGAGCGGGCAGGCGGGGGTGCCGAGGGCGCCGGGCTTGGGCGGCTGGTGGGCCGGAGCGCGGGCACTGAGCTCCTCCTGGGTTAGGTACTGCCCGATGTACTGCTCGTACAGCAGCGGGGCCCGGAAGCGCATCTGCTCGTCGCTGAAGTACTCGCCGCCTGCACAGAGACACGGCGCGCCCGGGGTCAGGGGCTTGGGCGCGGGGCCAGCCTGTCTGAGCACACGCGCGCCCACGATCGCGCTCGTAGGAAGCCAAGCGCGCACAAGGGCCAGCGCGCGCGTGCGCACTCGGACGGGCGGGGGAGCACGCAGCCGCCTGAGGGCCCGTGGCCGCGAGCACGCATGCGTCTGAGCGTGGGCGCGTCAGCGGCCCCGCGGCTGCACGTGTACACCTGTGTGCGCACGCCCGGCCCTGGCCAGCCCGGGCCCCGAGGCGCTGGTGGTGTGGGGCCCCTGCCCGTCGCTGTGCCTGGTCACACAGGTGTGCACACCCTCCTGCGTGCGTGTCTGCGAGTGTCTGCGAGGCAGCGTGCAGCAGGCCACAGGCAAGGGTCCTGCACACAGGAGCCAGGATGCAGATCACGTGTGGCTGGCTGCGCACACAGCTGGCCGTGCCAGATGTGGGTACCCCTGGTGTTCTTCCAGACCCCAGATCTAACCTCTCCCCAGAGTGCTCTCCTTTGCAGCCATCCCTCGGGTGGGCTTGGCTTCCCCACCACCCCCAAACCCGGGACCTTCTTGTCTCCCCTGGCTGGCTGCCTGTTCCTGCAGGGGGCTCTGTCCCTCAGAAAACCGTTACACCTGCCCAGTCCCTCCCACCCACCGGTCCCAGCCCCGCCTTCAGAGCCCAGGGTGAGAATCTGCCCAGAATTCTGGCCTCTGCAGCACTGGGGTCTGTGACCGTCCTTGTCCTGCCCCCTCTCTTACCCATCTCTCTCCCTCTGGTGTTACCCACCATATTCTGTTTCCCTCCCTCCGTTTCCCTGGCTCTGTTTCTGCCGCTCTGCCTCCACCCACCTGTCCCTCCCGGTGAAGACTCAGGCCTCCCGTGTCTGTCACCTCAACCCCCATTCATTCATCCCTCCTCCCTCCCATCTCCTTCTTCCCGACCTGTCGCTGCGCCCCACCCTCTCCATCTCCCTGGCCCTAGGGCCTGAGTCTTCACCCTAACCAGAATCTTCACTCGCTTTCTGCCTCGTTTGCTCTCCTCTATTTTTTTTTCTAAGCTTTTATTTATTTGACAGGCAGAGACACAGCAAGAGAGGGAACACAAGCAGGGGGAGTGGGAGAGGGAGAAGCAGGCTTCCCGTGGAGCAGAGAGCCCAATGTGGGGCTTGATCCCAGGATCCTGGGATCATGACCCGAGCCGAAGGCAGACGCTTAACAACCGAGCCACCCAGGCGCCCCTGCTCTCCTCTTTCAACTTTAGTTCTGGTGTCTCTGGTCACAGAGATGCTTGTAATTATGCTGCGGTCAAGAAGGTATCGTGCCCTCCAGACGCGTGCCTTGTTTCAGAGGGCCTGTGTGTCCCCAGAGTCACAGACAGACTCCCCTGGGTTTCCTCAGCGCCTCTGTGCATGGTGTAAGAGAGTCTCGTTTTCCTGAGGGATAAGCACTTATCACAGTGCTGGGTTCTGTGAAATGGCACTTGTGTCATCTACTAAATCCTGACCCTTCTCACTGCCTGTCCCATTCTCTTCCCCTGGGTTCCCGTCTGCCTCTACCTATCTTGCCTCATCGCTTCACGTGTCTCTTTCAACCTCCCTGTGTCCCTGTCTCAAAACTTATCTCCAGGACCTCTGTCTGTGTCTCCGCTCTTGCATCCTTGTTTCTTACTTCCTCTGCCTCAGTCTCCCCGCCCGCCCAGCCCACCTGTCCTCACACCTTGGATGAGCTCACGCAGGGCAGCGTAGCGCCGGTTACGCAGGCGGGTGCGCAGGGTGCGGGGTCGGGCACTGCCCTGCCGGGCCACCTCAGCACAGTAGAAGTCTGCACGATGGTCGCCGCGCAAGTGGCCAAAGCAGGCCAGGTGCTCCTCGCGGAGGCCCGTGCGGAAGCGCTCCAGGAACACCAGCGGCTTCTCATGGTACAGCTGGCCCAGGATGGCCACCTTCTCCCGCTCGGTGAGGTCAGGCTCGCCCTGCTGCTGGCTGCACACAGGCAGGCGGCTGGCGGCCACGGCGCGCAGCATGGCACTCACTGCTGTGTTCTCAGCCCCCAGGGCGTCATCATCTGGGGCCCTTGGCGCTCCTTCCGCGGCCTCCACCTTGTCCTGGGGTCTGGGTGGGACCGGTGTCCAGCTCAGCTCCCCCCAGTGTCCAGTACCGGGCTGCGTGCAGCCTGTGGGGGGAGGGGAGATGTGTTAGTCCGGGGATGGGAGTGCGGGGGAAGGTGGGGTGGGTGGAAAAGACTCATTTTATGTTTCCTGATCACCTACTATGTCCTGGGCACTGTTCTAGGTCCCAAAGATACCACAGGATGCACAAAGTTGACATTTTAGTAGGGGACATGGACCGTGAAAAACCTAATTACTGAAAACATATGATGCGTTAGCAGACATACAGTCTGTTGGGTGGTTCCAAGAGCTACGTAGAGGGGCGCCTGGGTGGCTATGGAAAGGGAACAGCCAGTGCAAAGGCCCTGAGGCAGGAGGGTGCTTGGTGTGTTTTCTTGGTCCTTTACCACCTCATTCACTGACTGACACAATTCTTTGCCTTTTCACTTGCACACAAAATCACTAACACATCCACTAAATTGTTCACTCATTCCCTCTCTCTCCTACTCATTCACACATTCATCCAGCCACTCTTCAGCAACTCTAAATCTGTGTGAGGTCCCGAGCTGGGCCGTGCTGAGGATCCACGGGAGTGAGGCAGCCCAACATCTGCCCTCAGGAAACAGCCAGTGTGATGCGGGAGCCAGGACGGTCAAAGACAACACGGGTGCTGGTAACAGGCAAGCTGGGCGCTAGGCAAACCTTGTCAAGAGCTGTTTCTCAAAAGGTGTGGGAACTGGAGTGAGGCTGAGCGGCCAGGAAATAAGAGAAGACAAAGTATAGGCAACTCCTTTGGGCAGCTTGGCTGGGACGGGGAAGAGGGAGGGGGTGAGGGTTACAAGTGCAGTGGGTTTCCGGGAGGGTTTTAATCACTGAGACCAGAGAAGACTGAGCTGGACCAGGGCAAGGGGTGTGGGGGAGGGCACAGGAAGGGGTGGTAGTTAGAAAGATGCTCAGGAGGCTGAGTAGACAAGCCATGGGGCTGAAGGGCTGGGAGGCAAGGGATGCATCCAGTTCAGGTCCGGGGTTCAGGTCTGGGGACTAATCAAACTGTCCTTGAGACAGTCACGGACAAGGAGCAGATTTGGGGGTGGGGGGAGATGCTGAGGCCAGTTTGAGACATGGAAGGTAGGACGGGCCCAGGGGACATCCAAGGGGACCATCTAAGAGACTGCTGGTCTGTGGGGCTAGAGACTTCTCAGGAGAAAAGTGCAGGGCTGGGGACAGAGCTATGGAGCCAAGACAGGAACCAAAGCCGAAGGAAATGAGAGGTCATGGGGAGGGCAAGGGGAGTGTGAGGGACAAGAGAAGAGTGGGCTAGGAAAGAGCCCCGACTGGATAGGGAGAAGCCATGCCTACGAAGGAGGCCATGCAAGGCTACAAAATGGGCCGCTGAAAGACAGCCACGCTTTAATTCCTGGAGCCTGTGTTACTGTTGATGGCCAAAATGGGTGTCTGCAGATGTGATCAAGTTAAGGATCTTGGGACAGGGAGATTATCTTGGATTGTCCAGGTGGGTCATGATGAGTATCCATAAGAGAGAGTCCAAAGGAGACTGGACATACACAGAAGAGAAGGCCATGTGAAGACGGACAGAAGCAGAGATCGGAGTGATGTGGCCACAAGCCAAGGAACGCCAGGAGCCACCAGAAGCTGGAAGAGCCTCTGAGGGAGGCCCTCCTCAGTCCTGCTAACACCTTGATTTCAGCCTTGTGGTACCGATTTCAGACCTCTGGCCCTCAAAACAGAATACATTTCTCTTGTTTTAAGCCCCCCAGCTTGTCATCTGCTGCAGCAGCCATAGAAAACTGATCGAGGCTGAGCGGGAGGAGCCTGAGAGAGAGGAAGAGAAAGGGAAAGAGTGGTGTCACAGAAACCAAGGAGGGGGCGCCTGGTGGCTCAGTAGGTCGAGCGTCCAACTCTTGGTTTCGGCTCAGGTCATGATCTCATGGGTCTTGTGATGGAGCTGAGTCGGGCTATGGGCTCCTTGCTCAATGGGGAGTCCCCTTGAAGATTCTCTCCCTCTGCCCCTACCCCCACTCTCTCCTTCTTTCTTTCTTTCTAAAATAAATAAATCTTAAAACGAAAACAAAAGAAAGCAAGAGACAACTTTCAAGAAGGATGGAGAGATCAATGGCATTGAACTCTCCAAGTCTAGTAAGAGAAAACCTGAATGGGGTGACTCCGTTTAACTACACCGGGGGTGGGGGGGGTGCACAGAGAGGCCACTGGCAACCTTGATCAGAGCAGTTTCTGGAGGTAAAAGCCAGACTGCAAGTGGGTGGGAGGTGAAGAAACGGAGACAGGTGTGAATGACTCTTTGGAGAAGATACCTGGTATCGGAAGGCGCATGGAACCGAGGGATAGACGTTCTTTTTAGGTTAAAACACTTTTTTAAAAAAAGATTTTATTCATTTATTTGACAGAAATAGTGAGAGAGGGAACACAAGGAGGGGGAGTGCGAGAGGGAGAAGCAGGCTTCCCACTGAGCAGGGAGCCCGATGTGGGACTCGATCCCAGGACCCTGGGATCATGACCTGAGCCGAAGGCAGACGCTTAACCGACTGAGCCACCCAGGCGCCCCAGGTTAAAACATTTTTAAATGGAAAATTTCCAACATGCACAAATGTCGAGAAGACGACCATATTCCCACCCCCACCCCATATCCCCACCATCCAGCTTCAACAGTGACCAATTCTTGGCCAGGGACATTTCCGCCAATCTCCCAACCACACCTCGACCCACCTGGGATGACTCTGAAGCAGCGGGATGAAATTTTAAGATGAGCAAAACGAAAGCGTTTTAGATACTGATGGGAAGGCATCGGGAGAAATAGAGACTGAAAATGCAAAGGAGAGTGATGCAGGGAGCACAGAAACGGAGTAAGGACCCGAGGAGGCAGATGGCACTGTGGACTTCGGAAAAAGGGGAATGAGAATGAAATGGGGGAACCGTGAGTCTGGAATAAGCAGAGTTTGCGTGGGACAGGAGGAAGGTCAGCCTGGGGCAAGGGGAGGGTCAGTGCGATGCAGGGGAGGAAACTGAGAGGCAGGGTGGACTGGGACACTGGGACTCAGCCGGGACAGGGGGCAAGTTTATGTTGACCCGAGAGTTAGCCCGGTAAGGAATCGGGTCAGCCTGGCCCGGAACTTGGGGGAGGTTAATTTCGGGGGAGGGGACGGGGTAAAGGACGGCAGCTCGCAACGAGAAAAGGATTAACCTGGACAAGGTGGCGAAGGGGACTGGCAGACCCGAGGGCAGGTGTCCCCCTATAAAGAGTCCTCCTGCGCGCCCACGGGGAATCATTTCCCAGTGACACCGCACCCTACCCTCCCGCCGCCTCCGCGCGGCCGGGACCTCACCTTCATCGGGTTCCCTGGCCGCCGCCGCGGGGGCCACGGCCTCCATCCTGATTCTCTACTAGTTAGCCGCCGCGGGAGGCTCTACACGCCGATCCCGGCCCCAGGCCCTCAGCGGCCACTTCCGGCTGAGCACACTCCAGGGGGACCCGGTGCGCCGCCGAGCCCGAAACAACAGTTCCGGGGTGAAGGCGGACCTTCCCATGCGCATGCGTGTCTCCCTCAGGTCCCGCCCCCCGCCGCGGGGAACGTAAGGGTCCCCCGAGTGAGAGGCTCTTCCGCGCCCTCCCCCCCCGCCCCCATCTGACCTGCTACTGAATTGCAGTATCAGGAGGGATCTGAACCATCGTTCAACCTGTTCACCGCTGGGACTCCAGAGCCCGGCATGCTTACTTCTGGGATGGATGGTTGAATGGCCACCGCGCAGAGCCTCTTGAGGGTTTGTGCTCTGGTTTAGACTCCAATCCATCCCTTTCTTCCGTCACCACCTCGAAAAATATCTACTAAGCTTTGTTTCTTGCTTCTGTGATCAAAGCCAGTCCCTGGCTAGCATGAGATGGGTGGTGAGATCAGATAGAATTTCCTACTGTGTTCCAGGACATGAAGAATTTGCAGATGTGAAAGGGGACAACCCTGGTCCTGATCTGCTCTGGGTGATGGTAGTGACTCATTCAGGTGTGTTACCAACAAAGCAACAGACTATCACAAGTGACCACCCTGAGTGGCCCGGGCTCTGATGGGGTTGTCCACCCCAGCCTAGAGGGTCAGGGAAGATTCCCTTCTAGGAGGAGGGGACACCCAAGCTGAGACCTAAAGGATGAGCAGGAATTAAAAAGGGAGGTTTCAGGCAGCAGGAAGGGCGAGGCAAAGACCCAGAGGGGAAGGCAGGCATGGATCTTTCTGGCTACTGCCAACGACTTCAGTGTGGTCAAGGAATAAAAATGTTCTAACTTGGAAGGCCATGGTTGGGCTGCAGAGGATTTGAGAACCTCTTGAATATTTATGCAAAATTCCATGTACATGTATATTTTCCAAAGCAGAGTTCATGGCATTTGGATTTAGAGATTTGTGACCCCCCCAGAACCAACCACCAATCTTAAGTTTGAAGGGGGAGCACCAGGATATGAAGCCAGAGAGGTCACCAGGGGTCAGGTACACAGGGCCTCTCTAAGCCATACTAAGTAGCTTGAGTTCCTTTATCCTTCGGGTAGCAGGCAGGAGGGGGGAAAGCATGAGGGTAAGGGACTGGAGGTAAGGGAGATCTGTGAGGAGGCTGGTGCAATGATCCAGACACTGTGGACAGGAGCAGAGAAATAACTTCCCATTTGCATTGCCAGGATAAGGGACCTAGAGGCCCATTTGCCACAGCCGATGGGTGGGAACTACATTTAAGAGTTTACTCAGAGAGGCCAGCAGAGGGTGCTGTTGCCCAACACGTGGACCAGCAAGGAAGGGGACTTTCCAGAGATGAGGCCCTTCCCCTCCTGCTCTCCCTGAGCAGGCAGAGGGTGGCACTCTAGGGTCCCTTTTAGCCCAACTAGCTACCAATTTTGGCTCCATCTCACATTCAGATGCCTCATCCCTGACCTCAAAACTAGTCAGCCTTCCTCCTCCTCTTGCAGCCTATGTCCCATTCATAAGGCTCTGAGGTACTTCCTGTTAGGCAAGGGATGGGGCTCAGCTGGCACTCCTGTGCCCCAGCATTGTCCCTCACAGTATCACTGGGAACACCACATATCCAGAGGGGATAAAGAAATGACTCCAGTTGCCAGGAGAGGCCACTAGGCTCCATGGAGATGCAAACACGAAAGTCTTCTACCCTGGCTACTTAAAAAATTGTTCCCTTCTCCAGGAAGACCTCCCCTTACCACACTCCTAACCCTCGGGCTTTCACAGCTGACCACTTGGTGCTGTCACCATCTGATGACAAGTCTGTGTTACCTCTGGACTGGGAGACCCGTGAGAGCCGGGCTCAGGACTGCCCTGACCGTGCTGTATCCCCAGCACTGTCCAGAGAGTGAGGCACGAGGCAAGCACCTAACACACAGTGGCTGGATAAAGAAGTTCCTGGAATCCCCACGAGCCTGGATCCAGGACTGCAGGCAGGACACGTCCTAAGTCCAGCACCCAAAGCCAGGACCGAGGTGGCTGGGCAGTCACACCCCATGAGGACCCCCAACAGTCCAGCCCTGGTCTCCATCCCATCAGCCCTACCTCACCCTCTGCCTAGGGACCTGCCATGCCTTCTAGTCACAAATTCCTGGAGAGAATTGGGGCTGTGAATGGACCAGAAAGAGGAGGGACCAGAGAACTACTTTAAAATGAAAGTGGATTTTAAACTGAGAGCCCCAGCACCAAAAACAGGGCCAGGCACGTGAAACCCTCAGTAAGTGTTTAATGGAGGAGTAAATAATGTCCCCTTTGAAAACGTCCCACCCCAATTAAAGGCCAACTGCAGTAATACTTCAGGGTTTCAACCCTGCTTCATTCCTGCTAGGAGGTGCCATGTCATTTATTGAAAGAAAACAAAACAAAGCAAACACATTTCTTAATAAGTGCAGTTTGTTAAAATTCTGTTAAAACATATGGGCCAAGGGGGAGTAAAAATAATCAAAGGATCATTGTAGGAAAAACCTTTAGGTCTGGCACCTGGAAGACCTCTGGAGAGGAGGCGGTGGGAGAAATTTCAGGTTCTGAAGGGAAGGAGCCCCCCCCCCCAACCTCCCCTTCTTCCCTCTCACCCACTTAATCCCACCAGAAACTACCAAGACGCCCGGAATAAAAGGTTTCAAGTTCAATAGTCACACTCTCTCCAAATACAAAAAGCAGTTACAATTCAACTCAACACAGAAGCTTGTGTGCAAGGTTACGGGAAACTGAGACATCGTATAAAAAGTTAGGTTAAAGATGATTCTGTGGTTTTGTTTTTGTGTGTGTTTTGTTTTGAGGGTGTGGCTCTTCCTCGGTCACCTGAACTCAGCAAAGAAATGGTTATCCTGATGAAATATCAACAGCCACAGTAAAAACAGAGAAATTCTAAAAATTAAAAAAAAAAAAAAAGCATAATTACCAAAAAATATCTGTCACTGCTTCCTCCCTCCGCATTTTACTTTTTAAACTTGTGGGTTTTTGTATTGGTGTTTTTTTTTCCTAAGTTTTTGATTTTTTTTTTTTTTTTTTTTAATCCTGAAAAGTAGACAGTAAAACAGCTCCTGGAAGAATGTACAACCAACTACATGAAGGTCTGGGAAGCTGAGGGGCTGGAGCAGGGCTGGGAGAGGTGGGCAGAAGGGGCCCTCCCTCAGCCACTGTAGCCTCACTGTATGACCAAGGGGGGGGGGGTCTTTAGTCAAAAAGGAGGTGGGGAGGAGGAAGAAGAGGAGGAGGGAAAGGAAGAAGGTGAGGGGACAAACAGAAAATAAAAGGTCATTGTTGCCTGTTTGAATCCAGAGAAAAATGCCCGGCCCTGTGTTGGGGAAGAAGCCCCTCGGAGGGGAGGCAGTGGGCTGAAAGGAGGCAGCCCTGGGATGACCCGTCCCCCAGCACCGCAGGACCCAGTGTGGGCAGACGAGGGGGCCAGGGTGGGCGCTGGTGGAGGAAGCCGGCAGGGGCCTCCAGAGCACACTGGCTACTGTGTGCTTGTGCCTCCCTGTGTGTTCCCGGAGTAGCTCCCGTAGTCGTAGTTCCCGTAGTATGGTGGCCACTGGCCCTGGTTCTGATAGTACTGGTTCCACTGCTGGGCATACTGGAGAGAGAAACCAAGAGCACACGTTGTCCTTACCCAGACCCGTATTTGGCTCCTGCCTTGACCCCACTCCCACGCAGGTCAGAGGTGAGTGTACTGACATGGGTCCCCTGACAGAGAAATCAAGGTCCCTCGGGAGGACAAGTGACCGACCTGATGCCCCATGGGTGGGGAGTCAGGGACGGAAGCCCAGACCTCCTGGCTTGCCAACCTAATGTCCTTTCAGGTATAGGTAGATACCACATTCAAAACACTTAACAGGTATGATGGCCCAGCACCAGCCAAGGGGAATGGACACTGGCCATGGTGCTGAAGCAGGATTCGGAGGCCCTTGCTAGGCCATTTAGTGGCTTCACTGGGGAGAAGAGGTTCGGATACCAGTTATTTAGCAGCCAGTGCAGAAATTTCAGTAAGTGGAATGGCTACATCAGGTGAATGCCAGCCTGAGGCCAGCCCATCTCTGTAGGAATAAACAGGGACTCCAGTCTGGGAATA